GCGTCGCTGTTGTGTCTACGCCCTCGTTCCTGCCTTTTAGGACAGCAGCACTCCCTGCGACACTATCACTTCCGAGACTGTTGTGCCCATTGCTACTAGCACCGGAGATGTCGAGCCCACTGGCACTCCCAGCGTTCCCGTCGTGCCTACCCCTGCCACCTCCGTCCCCGAGGCTAGCAGCACTCCCTGCGACACTATCACCTCCGAGACCGTTGTGCCCATTGCTACTAGCACTGGAGATGTCGAGCCCACTGGCGCTCCCAGCGTCCCTATTGTGTCTACGCCCAGCGCTCCTGCCCCCGAGGCCAGCAGCACTCCCTGCGACACCATCACCTCGGAGACCCGCGTCCCCGTTGCTACCTACACCGAGGCGCCCGCGACCACCCCCGCTCCCTCGATGACCACCAAGCCTCGCCCGGTTGTGACCATGACCACTACCGTCAGCGTCGCTGTCTGCCCGCCCTCCTAAATCTCGCCGAGGCCGCGCGCGCACGCCCTTTCGAGACGATCGCAATGGTTAGACCCTCGTGTACATAAGTAATTCTAATTCTACACATTCTCACAGTGCCTTTCGGCGTGGGAGATCGACCAGGCCTGGCAAATTTGCTAAATAGAGGCTTGTGACGCACCATGTTTCCTGAAGGGGGGGGAAGAATACGTTTTGTCGTTCTATTTCTGTGATTTCCTTGTCCGATTCCCTTTAATGGAGTACATTCCTTATTGAATGATATTAGCAGATGTAATTGTGTCCTACTTTGCTGTATAGTACGTGACGAATATGATTTCTATCTATGTTCAGCGCATCCAGTATGTACATACAGTACCAATCAGTTCCTCCGAACATACGAGCCAATATCCTAAGTCAAAAGACCAAAGTAAATTCGAACGAACAGACCTCTACCCCACTACCCACAGCTGATGCGTCCTGACAGCCGATCATAATATCCACAAACTCCTCTACTCCGGAGTACCCACGCGATTGACAGGGACGGCAGAGGGATGAACGCGCGGAACAAACGACTAGTCGCCATGACGTAAAGTCACTGTCGATAATAATGTCCGATTCTGCGCTCGGAAATTGGCTTCTGCCTCTTCATTTCGTTCGTGGGGCAGACAGATACAGATGTCTAGACATGGAGTAGTTAGTTACGGAGTAGATACTCCGCAGCTGATTATCAGTCAACGGCCCCATCGTGGCTGGCTGGCTGGGCTTACGGAGTAATTTCCTGTCATTAGGACGATCTGCCTGGCTGATAAACGGTGATCTGCATAGTCGGCGCTTTTATTATATTGAGGAGTTTTTGAGCCGGTGGTTTGTCTGCTACGGAGTTTATTAGATTAGTTACATAGTATCTCTGTGATAGTCGTTTGCGCAATCGCCTTCTCCACGGCCATTTATTTAGGTATCTCGCACACCATCTTGTGCTTTCTTTTGTAATCCGATAGACGTTGTCTCTCCTGTTTCCTGATCTACGTGCTCGCAACTTCGGATATTGACCGATATTTCAAGATCTACAAGAGCCCCCTGTCACTCATTACATACTTGTCATCGTATCCAAGTCTATGCTTTATGGATCACGGCTATTGTTCATTGAAGATCGTTACTACCTACATCTCAATCAAATTTATACACCAGAGTACCTCACGTGGCTCTATTTGGACGCCGTCGAATAACTACCTACCTTGTCGCTGGAGGTGGTACGACGCATGGCCACAAGCTTCTCGCGAAGGAGTCTCTCGCGTAACTCGGTGCTGGAGATGCGTGGTCGGGAAGATTTCTCAGAGGATCTAGTCTGGGCAACATCGCGTTAGCTAATTGTTGGCAACGGAAACGGTGGACGTAGAATGAACATCGACAGCCACATGCACAAAACAGTGTAAAATAATGCAAGCAATACCTTCAGAAGTCATTCACCCACCTCGTCGGTATCCTTCATCGCACGGTCTGTCGAGCCCGACGGCTTCTCCGGCGGCGGCGGCGATCGCATCGCAAAATCCTCGTCATGATCAGCCATCCTCTGTCGCTTCTCACTACGGACGGATATCGAAGAGGTATTACGCCGTCTTCGCGCGGCGGGGGCATATCTCTGAAGCGACCGACGTCTCTTGCGGTCGCGGCTGCGACTGCGGGAATCGTCCCGATGACGCCGGGGACTGGAGCTGGCGGTGCGCGAGCGGCCTCGGCTGCGGCTACGACTGACACTGCTGGACGCGCGGCGACGTCTGCCGTCTCTGCTGCGACTCACGCGGCGGTCATCATCATCACGGGACTGGTGGGCCTTGGCAACATCAGCGGTGGATTCTTTCTGATCAGCTCTGGAAGTGTAAGATCCCCTCCGTCGGACGTGGCTCCTTCCTTCGGACCCGCGCGACCGCGAGCGGGATCGCGACCCCGAGTCATCTCTTCTGCTTCGGCGGTCACTACGGTGCGGACGGGCTGGACTGCCGGAAGAAAGGGATCGCTCTCTCCGTCGGTCTCTTCTGGGAGTACGTGAGCGCGATGAATCACTGCGGGAAATGGATCTAGCTCGATCACCGTAATCAGGACTGCGTCTCCTGGGCCGTCTGCGGTCTCCTCTGTCCGGGGACACCGAGTTGCTCGCGGACCGACGGCGCCGAGGCCGAGCGTCCCTGCTCGAGTGGCGTTGCCGGCGAGGCGGCGACCGCGACCGCGACGACGACACTGAGCGAGATCGCGAACGGCTCACAGAGGGCGAGGGTCGACGACCCCGGCGCGAGCCCGAGGGAACGTAGGAATCGAATTCGCGCCGCGAGGGAGGCTCACGGAACCGGTCGCGGCTGCGGCGTCGCGGCGGCGACCGCCGTCTGTCAAAGTCTCGTCCTCCGCCGCGTCCTCCCCGTCGTCCACCTCTCATGCGATCGGAGCGTTCCCGTCGCCGGATATCTTCCAACTCTCGTTCGCGAGCGCGCTCCTGCTCTTTCTGCCGACGCGCCTCCTCCGCGGCTTTCTCCGCAGCGATCTAGCAACGATTAGCGTGCGCTCCGAGTGGGCTGCAATCGGTGTGTAGTGTACCTTTTCCTGGATGAGCTCCAGCTTCTTCGCTTCCAGTAATTCTTTCGGGACGCCTTGCGGGTTTTCCTGGGCGCTCAGACAGAGACTCCATAGCTCTTTGCAGAATTTGGCCGTGTCTTTGTCGAGGAAGCCCGTAAGCTGAATCTGTAGGGATTTGATGTCGGGCTAGAGGAGTAACACATTGTGTTAGCAATTGTATCAATGCGCCTCGAGTAACACTTCGTTTCGAGTCAGCGACGTACGAATCGGGTACCCTCCAACAGGTTGAAGCATAGTTCAATCACGACGTCATCTTCGTTTCCTAGGATCTCGGATATTTTCCCAGCGATCCATCTGTCGGAAGTGAGATTAGCTATATAGGACTCGAGGAATAAGTGCGGATGTTAGTCGACTCACTTCTTCATGACCTCGATATTGACCTTGGTCATGTCCACCTTCCGACTGAACTCGGGAGGAAACTTGGTCTGCTTGAGCAGCTTGGCATCCACGCTAGACGCCATGTTTGCGATATGGGGGAGGGAACTGGACGGTGAAGGGAAGAAAGGGCATGAAGATGGACGCGTGAAGCTATCGAGGCACGAGACCGCCACACTGGTTGGTCTCGCGCGCCGTACAGAAAATCGGTGTTGCAGTCGGACCGAGGGTGTTCTTGCCTGAGAATCTAGGCATCAGAGGAGTAGGAGTATACAGACAGCGCATCTCCAGGCCCAGTATGCTCGACCTGAGAGGCAGTGTGCTCGTGTCATTCATAAAGTGTAAGATTCATTTATGCCGTTCAAAGTACCCATAAGCCCTGACCCTGCGCCGATCTTGTAGACATGCCCATCATCTCGTTATAGATCATCCATCCCTAGAACGAATACCAGACCAACCAGTAACTCCTCAAATGCAAGGCGTAAAGTGAGAGGTGTTTTACATCCTCAACTCTCGCAAGACTCGGTTGACTTGCTCTCTTGCTTGGGCCAGCTCGTCGTCAACCGTCCCGTTGGCATGTCGGGCTTTGATCTCGTAGTGCAGCTCGACCAACTCCTTGGCTCGTTGGAGGTCTTCGTTCGCGGGTTCTTTCGCATGAGCCTTAGAAGCATCGCCCTGTTCCGCGGCGACAGGCGCCGCTATTCGTTCATTGACAGTGACGAGTGCCAAGGCATCCTGGTGATCCTATTCATCATTAGTTGAGCTCGTCCAAGTTGGATGTAGGACTAAAGGGAGCCATACACAGACGCGAAGCGACGTCAAGTCGGATAGAATCTCCGCTACCTGCATGACGGCGAGAGCTCTTGGGAGGAAGGAAGACAGTTGAAGCCGTCCACTTTGGGCGACGCGGGGAAAAAGAACCGCGCAGCCAATCGCCGGGCAGCCGAAGCTCGGAGATTCCGACTCTCCGCATCACCCATTCGGAGTACTTAAGTCACTGTCGCATTCATTTCGCATCTTTGCGACGCTCTCCATTCTCCTCCCTCCCCCTCCGTCTCTCCCTCATAATGGCGTCCGCTCTCAAGGCCAATTGCCGCAAGGTCATCTGCATCGGTCGCAACTATGCGTAAGTCCGTCCGATCTTCTCAATTGCCGTCGCAAGTTCTAACACACCTCGCAGCGACCACGTCGCCGAGCTGAACAACACCAAACCCAAGCAGCCCTTCTTCTTCCTCAAGCCTGCCTCCTCCATCCTCTGTCCCGGCGAAGGCCCGGTGCTGCGCCCCCGCGGCACCAACCTGCACTATGAGGTGGAACTCGGTCTGGTGATGGGCAAGACCCTTCGGGATCTGGACCCGAGCGACGAGGAGACCGCCCTGGACGCCATCCACAGTCTGTGCCACCCTGCACTCCCCTGCACGCCACCGCGCGCATGATTTTTGACCACTATGACTGCAGGCTACTTCCTCGCCATCGATATGACCGCCCGCAACGTCCAGGACGAGGCCAAGAAGAAGGGCCTGCCCTGGTCCATCGCCAAAGGCTTCGACACCTTCCTTCCCATCTCGCAGGAGATCCCCAAGGCGCGCATCCCGAACCCCCACGACGCCTTTTTGCGTCTCAGCGTCGGGTCCCAGCTGCGCCAGGCCGACTCTACCGGCCTGATGCTCTTCAAGATCCCCCGCATCCTCGCGGAGATCTCCAAGGTCATGACCCTCGAGAAGGGCGACCTCGTCCTCACCGGTACCCCCAAGGGTGTTGGCGAGGTCAAGTCCGGCGATGTGATGAAGGCGTCCATCGAGGTTGATGGCAAGGAGGTCGAGGAGGGACGTATCGAAGTCGAAGTGAAGGATCGGGATGGGAAGTATCTGTACGCTGAGACCTAGGGTCCAGGCGTATGGGAGGGTACCTTATAGAACCTTGTATATGATTGGTAGAATCGGTATATACATCTTTCATGGGTTAGGTATAGGCTAGAGTTTCTTCATTTTGTGTCTATGTACGAGCGTTGTGCCAACCCAACACCCTTAGATCGTCTTCGTCTGCTGGGACGATGGGAATAGACCGGCGCATCCTCTTCCTCCTCTTGCTCTTTTGCTGGTCCAGCTCGCGGCTTCTATCACCGTGATTCGGATCCACGCCATTACGATCTGCATGCGCTTGACCCTCGACTCTGGCCAGTTCCCTCACGATCGCACGTAGACAACTCCACGACCACCTACTCGCATCCAGACGCCTTACAACCAGTGCCCGTGTATCCGAATCGTTCAATCCGCAGACAAACCCCTCCAGCGACGCTTTCCCCTCGTCGAACCCACCACCGCCCTCGACCATATCCAAGTACTCAATCAGACCCATCCCATTCTGCTTCATCATAGCACGTTGTGTGGAGTCACGCAGGCAGGGCCCTTCATGCTGAGTGACACTCCCCAACCGCCCATCAAGCGAACTCGACGATGCCCAAGTAGTGTCCGATAAACCACGCGTAGGACCTATGGACAAGGGCATCGGCGCCGACTGGCCCACGGGCATGGAGTCGGGCGCAAGCACCTCCGATCCTCGCCGTGCAACAGGAACTGTTTCTTCTCAGTAACCGGGTAAATATCGCACCAGGGGACCAGAACCACAGGAGGCAGAAATGAATAAACCTACCCTGTAACTTCGAGGGTAACCTCCTCTCAATGTCCCCAAACCGCCGAGTCCAGTCATCTACACGATCGGAGTATTCCTTCTCGAAAAGTTCCACCCGTCTCTTCAGTTGGGCATGTTCGGTCTCCAGGGCCTCGAAACGCCCAGTCACCCATTGGATGCGGTCTTGGAGTTCATTTGTCACGACTTTGCGGAGTTGATCGGCTTGTTCGCAGCGGGTTTCTACTTCTTGTATTTGGCGGCTCACATCGTCGATCTTCTTTGCGAGATCTGTCACTGTGTTGGTGGTAGAAGTGAGATCAGTGCGGGTGTTATCGAGTTGGTCGGCGAGGTGAACATGTTCTCGTCGTAGTTCATGCGCCCAGAGGAGGGAGGGAGCCACGGGGTCCCATTGTCTTTGGGATGGACGTTCCATTGGAGGACCCAAGGTAGTGTGGTTGAAAGCGAGAGGCGAACGAGATATGCTTGCAGGGTAGAGATGTATACGTAGGAAGCAAATACTCACTGCGGGTCAACAAACGTACTTGCTACCATCCAGGACAATTGAACAAATGGAATGGCATTTACCTCTATCTATGGTACTGCAGGTATACAACCACCCCAGGTCATGGTCATGCACTCGTCCAAACTTGTCGTGAAAACCATGTCTGAACAAACATAGGCACATTTTGGGCTCGATCTCCCTGATTAAGCACGATGGGTGGCATCCTTAACCAAGCACAGCGATCGACATACACAAAAGAAACAACGAGGAAGAGGGAAATAAAAATTCGGGAAAGAACCATGAATTACAGCAAGTAAATCGCACAAACATGTCGCATCTCCGTAAGGACAAAAAGTAAAGGAAACCATGAACAGCAGCCAGAGAAGATTCGCCAACCACTGCTAGCGGAAACAAATGCTGGAGACACAGAAAGCCACTTTTGATGGATTCTCCTTTACCAAGAGAAGCAGAACGATGTCTAAAACGCCATTTCCACCGCAGCTTACCCTTGGACCGTTATTGGCAACTGCAATCGTAATCCGCATCGAGATTTTTTATAGGAATCGTTAGGGAGTTTAGATAAGGTCTGCAGGAGTTAGTCAGGTCCATGTGGCAATACAATCTTGGTGAACACTTACCAGCAACGTTCATGGGCATCTCCTCGATCTGGGTGCTGTAGAACTGCTCGATCTCACGCATCATACGGACGTCATCGGCGGTGACGAAGTTGATGGCAACACCCTTACGACCGAAACGACCACCACGACCGATACGGTGAATGTAGTTCTCACGGTTGGCGGGGAGATCGTAGTTGATGACCAGAGAGACCTGCTGGACATCGATACCACGGGCCAGGAGGTCAGTGGCGATCAGGACACGGGAAGAACCGGAGCGGAACTCCTTCATGATAATGTCACGCTGGGACTGCTCCATGTCACCGTGCATGGCCGAGACAGTGAAGTCACGGGCAGTGAGCTTGTCGGTGAGCCAGTCGACCTTGCGGCGGGTGTTACAGAAGATGACGGCCTGGGTGATGGTGACGGTCTCGTAGAGATCGGAGAGGGTGTCGAGCTTCCACTCCTCCTTCTCGACGGCAATGTAGAACTGCTTGATACCTTCGAGGGTAAGTTCCTGCTTCTTGACCAGGATGCGGACGGGGTCGCGCATGAACTTGGTGGTGACCTCAAGGACGTCCTGGGGCATGGTGGCGGAAAGGAGGACGACCTGGGTGGCCTGGGGCAGAAGCTGGAAGATGTCGTAGATCTGCTCGGTGAAACCACGCTATTGGGGGGGTTAGCCCAGGAGTACTCGTCGCAGGAAAGACATCACTTACAGAAAGCATCTCATCAGCCTCGTCGAGGATGAAGAGCTTCATCTGGTCGGTCTTGAGGACGCGGCGCTGGATCATATCCTGGATACGACCGGGGGTACCGACGACGATTGGGGGGCCCTCCTGGAGGGCCTTCATGTCATCACGGATGGCGGTACCACCAATGCAAGCGTGGCAGTTGATGTTCATGAAGTCACCGATGGCGACGACGACCTTCTGGATCTGCTGAGCCAACTCACGGGTGGGAGCGACGATCAGAGCCTGGCAGGCCTTGAGGTTGGGGTCGATCTTCTGGAGGGCGGAGATGGAGAAAGTGGCAGTCTTTCCAGTACCGGACTGGGCCTGAGCGATGACATCGTTACCTGTCGAGGGTTAGTTTTATTTCTTTGACTGATCGACCATCTGTCGACCAGGAGAGGAGCGGGGAGTAACCTACCCTTGATGATGGGCATGATAGCACGCTGCTGGATGGCCGAGGGACGCTCGAAACCATAGGCGTAGACACCACGAAGGAGCTCAGCCTTCAGTTCCATAGAATCGAAGGAGTCGGTAACATCCTCGTAGTTGGACTCGATCATTCCTATAAGGAGAGAAACACGAGATTAGTTTGTGGTGCTTCATTTTGACCCAGCGTTGGCTTTTGAGAATTTTTCTTGGACATTTTCCTTCGCTGTCGCAGGTCGTGGTGGGGTTTTTTCGCATGTAGTTGCATCCGTCATATTTTTTCCACTTGGGATGGTGGCAGAGAAGATCCCCGCCACTGACCAACCTACCCACCACGACGGTGCCAACAAGCGACCGAAAAGTCGAGATTTAAGAGATGAAGTCCAGTACGTACCCTCGGGAAGATCTTCCAGACCCTTGTCAGCCATGATTGCGGTTGTTGTAGAGAAAGATCACAGAGCTTTTGCCTGTGATCGGTGGACAGTGGGGTGTTGAGAGTTGAAGTGGCAGAGGTTTCTTAGCGACAAACGGCCCAGTGGGGAGTAGTCACTGCGAAAGTCAGTTGAGTTAGTTCGGAGGAAGAAGAAAAAGGAGAAGAAAGAGGAGAGATAGGAGAGATATGGGGAGAACGTACCTAGATAAATGGTATTCAGATGGTGCACCAAGTGGTGTGTGGATAATGGGAAGAGAAAGCGGGAAGGGAAGAAGAGAAGAAAAAAAAGCGAGGCGGACTAAGGCAGAGACCCAATCGTGGATTTTCCCGTCCTGAAGCCGTGGATTTTTTTTAAAAAAAATTTTTTCCTTTCTTTCTTTCTTAGCGCCCACCGAAATTCTGCCTACCGATGTACACCGCCTGCCGCAAGAGGCAACCACCCCACGTTGTGCCTCATCGTCTTTTGCCATCTGCCTGTGATTTGTTGATAGACCAGCCCTAACAATAATAATCACATCCTGTACTACTCTCCCTCGGGCGTCACTACGGGTACTCCGTGGCTGTTGTCGGTGTGGTTGTCGGGACTTCGGGCTTCAGCCATCTCTGTCCGCTCCTGGGCATATCCCGCGCTATGAAAATGCCTGACATCGCCTCTCTAGGCGGCCATCCACGCGACCCGGACGCTGTCGCCAGTGTCTACGCCTCCTCATACCCGGACGACGGTTTTCAGGATGTGTCAGGTCCCAATGCGATCCCCGGCCATCCGATGGGCGTCAAGCCCAGCGGCAATGCGCTGTTGGCGGAGGAGAATCTGCGTCATGCCATCGGCACGTTCCGACGATTACCGGACGAATTGATCTTGATGCTCCTCGAATGGTTGGATGGGCCCAGTCTGTTGCAGATAGGTCGCACCTGTAAGGCGTTTTACGCCTTTACTCGCGCGGAAGATTTGTGGAAGGCTTTGTTCGTTGCGTACGTTGATCTATCTGCTCGCTCACCTCTCTCCTACTTGAACTAAGCGGTGTAGATCACCCCCAAGCACGTTCTCCTGGAAAGGAACATGGCGATCGACCTATCTCGACCTTCCTCCTTCTAAAGTATCCATCCTCGACTGCTCCAGTCTCTACTCCGACGCCCTCCACCGCCCATTCTATTGCGCCCACATCTCCCTCGATCCGTACGTCAGTAACATCCCCTCCCGCAACCAGATCGCGCGTCTCCCCGACCTCTCCCCAGAGGAATTTCACCAGAATTGGACCGACACGCCGTTCATACTCACCGAACCCGTCAAAGCATGGCCCGCGTACAAGAACTGGTCGATCGATGCCCTGCGCTCCAACTACGATGACGTCGTCTTCCGCGCCGAAGCCGTCGACTGGAAACTCAGCACGTACGTCGACTACATGAAGAACAACTCGGACGAGAGCCCGCTCTACTTGTTTGACCGGGCCTTCGTCTCCAAAATGGGTCTCAGCGTCGGCCCGCTGCATGAGGTCCCCGACGCAACCTACTGGACGCCGCCCTGCTTCGGCGAAGACTTCTTTTCCGTGCTGGGCGACGACCGTCCGGATCGCCAGTGGTTGATCATCGGCCCCGAACGGTCCGGCAGCACCTTCCACAAGGACCCCAATGCCACCAGTGCCTGGAACGCCGTCATCCGCGGCTCCAAGTATTGGATCATGTTCCCGTCGTCGTCGAAACTGCCGCCTCCGCCAGGCGTCTACGTCTCCGACGACCAGAGCGAGGTGACGTCGCCGCTGAGCATTGCGGAGTGGCTTTTGGGCTTCCATGCGGAAGCGCGCCGGTCACCGGGCTGCATTGAGGGAATCTGTGGCGAGGGCGAGATCCTCCACGTGCCGTCGGGCTGGTGGCATCTCGTCGTGAACCTGGAGCCCGCCATTGCCATTACGCAGAACTTCATCCCGCGCGCGCATCTCCCCGCGGCGCTGGACTTTCTGTCCAACAAGGCGGACCAGGTGTCCGGGTTCCGGAAGGATGTCGTCAACCCGTACGAGCGGTTTGTGACGAAGATGCGCGAGCTTCATCCCGAGCTGCTGGATGAGGCGTCGAACGAGCTGAAGAAGAAGGCCGAGGGGAAGAAGAGAAAGTGGGACGAGATTGTCCACGGAAAGGCAGATCAGGACACTGCTGAGGACACGGCCGAGGGTGGCTTCAGTTTTGGTTTTGGAGATGACGGAAGTGACGTGGAGGTTCCTTGAGTGCATACGTCGGCATGTCATTTTCATTCATGACGACATGACAACAGACTAGGCTACAAGCCCTGCGACAACTCAATGCGAGATGTTGCCAACGCCCTCCAGACACACGATACAAATCAATCAATGACAAGCCACCGTCTTCGACGCAGACAAATTCTCCCCAAACACCAGGTATCCGACGAAAGCACCCACGGCCACCGCCAGCATGACAAACCCATTATACGTCATAAACAGCAACCTGCAGGTGTCAACGACCGCCGCGCACATATACAAGGGGGAACCCACATGATGAAGAAACTATAGAACACCTGCACGGCGTACAACGCCGCCAAGACAATCTTTCCTCTCTGCTCCACAATCCGCCTGTTATCCCGACCTACAAGGAGCGGTGAGCTAGCGTCCGGGACAGGGCGCGATGGGCCGGTAGCGCGGAGAGACTCGTCGGCGATCTCGTTGTCTTGAGGTTATACTCAGCATGGCCATGCGGGTACCAACGCGACAACAGACTCACGAACAGACTCACGACATGTATATACATAGAATAGAATAAACTGAATAGACAAAGAAATGAAGGGAGCGGCTTACCAGTTACGGCCGCCGTAAACGCATTCAGGCGCTGCGCATGCGCCGCTTCGTACCGCCGTGTCACCTGGCGGACGCCCTCGTAGCCGGCCGTCAACAGCACGATGACCACCAGGGAGACGAAGAGGGTGAAGGGGCCGGAGACGTGCCACTGGCGGAAGATGATGCAGAGGTCTTTCGGTGACCAGGTGAAGAGCATCTACGGGAGTTAGAGTGTCTTTCACGACGATCTTATTCTCAAACATGAGAGCTCACGTTCATATTACACTGTCCGCCGCCCATATCCATATCCCCATGGCCGTGGCCATGGTCCATGTCCATATGATGCATCGAGTGGTCCATTGCGACCGTTTCAGGATACTAAACGAATCAACAACTATCACCGGAAGACCGGACGATACTAAAATCAAGAGAGTTGAAGGAGTATAAGCATGGGCAGATGATGGACGAGAGCCGTGGTGGTGATCGGACACCCACCGCCCGCCGTCTCCGGCTGCAAACCAACCAAACACCGACCACGATCGATAAGCTCTGCCCTTCGCCTGGTCTCGTTCACTCATCCATCCATCCATTCCACCACCTGCCTGGCCTCCGATCCACGAACAACCGCTCAATCCCTCCCGAGTCCCTTACAAACGCGCAGCCCAATCCGACATAGACATGCCCGAACCCGCCCCTTCCTCCGCGCAACCGTCCACCACCACAACCGGCGCACAACCAGCCCCATCAACATCCACATCCGCAGGCGCAGGCGCAAGCACCTCGCAAACCGGCACGAACGCAAACTCAGCCACTACAAATACTGCACCCGCGAACAGCAACAATGCCACCACTAACGACGGCACGAACCGCGGCCTCCCCTACTACGAGAAACTGCGCCGCGATCTCCGCGACACCCTGCAGAAGAAGCGTCTCATGGATAAGAGCATGGTACCTCTCTCCCTCTCTTCCTTTCACGCACCGGACTGCATCGCATCGGAGCCCCCGACTTGATTCACCTCCCTGACAAGATAATTAACGTTGGATACGCTACAGGCCCAACTAGAAGACCAGATCTACCGCTTCGAACAATCCTACCTCGAAGAAACCACCGCCGGGAACATCATCAAAGGCTTCGACAATTACATCAAGGGCTCGTCGAGCAGCGCCGTCGGCGCCGGGTCGCTCGCGCTACAGGGTGTCGGCGGTGGTGCGGCGCGGCGCAAAGCCGCGGTGACGGATGCGGATCGCGTGTTTTCGCGGAGTTCGGCGAGTTTCATGCGGGTGCGTTTCTTTCCTTTCTTTTCTCCCTTTTCCTTTCCTGTGGGGCTGGGCTTTGATGTTGGGTTTTGGCTTTGGAGGGCGAAGGACTGACGTGTGTAGGATTCGACGCCCTCGTCCGTGCAGACGACGCCGTCGCATGCGCCCACGCCAACCTCCGGGTATAATGGGTCGAACGGGAAGCCGAACGGGGATACGTCTGCGTCTGGGTCTGGGAGTGTGAAGGGCGGGGCGTCGAAGAATAAGAAGAAGGGGACCAAACAGGAGAGAAATGAGGATGAGGAGGAGGGCGGTGATAAGCCGCCGGCGAAGCGGTTGAAGATTAGTTACGGCCGGGACTAACTAGGGTATGGTAGGAACGGGTTGCCGGAGTTGCTCGGTTTTGGGTCTGGGTGTTTGGCGGGATGGAGTTTATGTTTAGCTGGGCATTGCATTTGTGTCATGATATCCTCTGTACTATCATCAATCAATCTAGCGGAAGATGTGATGGAAGACCATGTGAGCATTCGATACTATGTAGATACTAGGTTGTACTGTCCCTACATGATAATCACAACTGCAAGCGATACGTTGCCACCTCAAAGGCCCGCACCTCGATGCCCACATCGACCGTACCGTTGATCTTCGACGTGTGAAGGGCTGTCTCGTTGTCCTCCAGGATATTGCACTTCCACACCTTCTTGACGGGGAGGGTAGTGTGGATCGTGCCGCGGCTCTTACCACCGAGAGACTCGTAGACGCGCAGGATGATGCTCTTACCGGATCGTCGAGGCAAGTTGTCGCGGGAAACATCTTCGTCATCCTCTCCGCGCTTGACGACATCTAAGACAAGCGAATCCGATCCGCTAATGTAGATGGACTTGAAGAGGTCTGACGACACCTTCGAAGACACTGGTTCAACCACCAGGGGATGGTTGAAGCTGTATCCGGCGCGAATGGTGCGCGAGTCAAGGGGTCCAGCATGGGGAAGGATGGCGTAGCGGATATGGTGGCGGCCCATGTCCGCGTGTGCATCCGGTGCCTTCGGTGCGCGCAGGAGCGAGAGACGCATGAGATTTCCGCAGGTTGCGAAGCCATACTTGGAGTCGTTCAGGACCGACACGCCGTATCCGTGTTCGGACAGATCAGCCCACTTGTGGCAGCAAACTTCAAACTTGGCCATGTCCCAGCTAAGAACCGTTAGGGCTGTTCGCTTGATGGTACACATTGCAATGCGGCTCCAACTTACCTTGTGTTGTAATGAGTCGGCCGACGGATGATTCCATATTGAGTCTCGTAGGAGGCCTCGGTGTTCGTGATATCAACGGGGAACTCGACTTTGAGGAACTTCATCGTCTCACGCCATTCCACCTCGCTCTCAAACTCCACGTATGAGGGCTGTGCACCCACGGCAGCCGCGAGACTGATTGTCGTCTTGATCCAGCTAACGTCGCTGATCTTGGTTTCCGTCACGACACTAACGCGGAACGGATCTGCTTCCGCAATGGTCGTCTTACCCGACGGTAACTCCTTTCTAGACTCGAGATGATAAACCTCCACATCCCAAGCTTGCCAATAGAGTGGCTTGTCATCAAATATCACCAGCTGTCCGGCCTTACCACCCGGGGCAATGACTTCTCGCTCCGCTCCCCGGTCATACAGGGACACGATCACGCCATCCTTGATATCAACTCGGAGTTGGGAGTTCTCAAGACGGAACACACCTGGCTGGATCTCCGAAACCGACACGCCAGAAGTGATTTCCATATTTTGAGTCTTGCATGATACGAGGCCCGTGTCTCCACTCGCCACCACATACTTCGGGCTCCCCGAGATTTGAGCTCTGAGCTCCGCAGGGACTTTGACAACTTCAGACCGGTGCCAGGGCAATGTGTTGATCGCCGCAAAAGCCGTAGATGCCGCACGAGAGACCCCCAGAGCATAAAGGGCCTCCTTCCTCGCCTTCTGGCCGATTTCAAAGATTCTAGCGTAAAGCTTGTCCGAGTCGTCATAGCACATCTCAATCGAGCTACCGGGCAGGCAGTCGTGGAACTGACACAGGAGCACGCCCTCCCACATTTCATCGATCACCTCCTTGGGGTACTTGTAGCCACCGTTGTTGGGAGCCAGCGTCGCAAGAGTCGCCAGGTATTCAATCTCACGGAGTAAGAACTCGGATTTGCGATTGTTCCGCTTGTTGTTGGCCTGTGTCGTGTAGTGCGCGATGAGCTCAAGTAAGCTCACGTACACGTCGCAACTCGTGCCTCAGCAGCATCTCTCATCGCTCAAGAATCATCCACGACTCGCCCATCTTCACTCGGGAAGCAACCCACCTTGTCGCTTCAGACCCCGACAACGACGCAGCTTCTCCAGATGCTCAAACGTAGGACCGCCCCCGCCGTCACCCTTTCCGAAGACCAGAAGGGAGGTGTTGTCCTTGTCCATAGACTTGTGCTGGGTCACACTCCGCTTCACATCCCCAAAGTGGGCACTGGCAGTGTACGTCTCAGATGGTGCCATATGGCACATGACCTGGCTTCCATCCAGGGCCACCCACTGGAAAGTCGTATGCGGGAAGTTGTTGATGTTGTTCCAACTCAGCTTCTGGGTGAAGAAGCGACTCATTCCCGCCAGACGGCAGAGCTGAGGGATCTGGGTCGAATACCCGAAGGTGTCGGGCAGCCAGAAGGTGGTGCAACGTTCTCCAAAGTGGCTTTCGAAGAACCGCTGTCCGTAGAGGAACTGACGCACCAACGACTCGCCACTGGGCATGTTCGTATCATGCTCGACCCAACTGCCCCCGATGGGTTGGAAGTGGCCCTTCTTCACCCATTCCTTGACACGGTCAAACACCGAGGGATAGTACTGCTTGAGCCACTTGAATTGCTGCGCCTGGGAACAGGTGAACCGGTGTTCCGGATACCGGTCCATCAAGTCGCACTGGTTCGACCAGGAACGAGCGACTTTGCGCTTCGTCTCCGCCCAGGGCCACAGCCAACAGGTATCAATATGGCAATGGCCAATCGCGTACACAATGGGATCCTTATCGGTATTATACACATCCGCGGAGTCGACTTTATCCCCGAGGTATTTCTGCGCGATCTTGCGCGCCTCCTTGATGGACTCCTGGCTTCCATTTCCGGCAATAAAGGCGTCCATTATGGCATTGCCCACCATGTTCGCCTCGTGCGACTCCCACGAGTCACCGGGGAACTCTCGCGCGGCGTCTCCGATGATCCAGAAATCGTAGAAGAGCGCGCGAGCCTCCAGGTTGACGGCGGTGATTTGCGCCTTGCTGAGGGTGAAGTATTTGTCGGGGCTGGGCGGTTGGATGGAGTCGCCACCAGGGGCATTTCCAAACATGCCGTTACAGGCCATCTCGATGTAGAACGTATGTTCTTTTCCGTCGCGCCAGGCGTCGGGGATGATCCATTCGATGCGCTCGCCGCCGCCGGTCAACCCCTGCAATGGGTGACCATCAGCGGTCCACACGAGGCCCTCGTTGTTCGCATCCCAGTGGAACTCCAGGCGCTCTTTGTGGCGCATGTCCTCGGGGACGGTCAACTGGATGCGGAACCAGTGGGTGGACCAGCTGGGGCCGAAAGAGGCGCCGATGTGGGTGGGTTTGAACTCATGGGAGGTCGCGTCTTTGAAAGTTGGGCGGTCTAGGTTGGGAACGGAGTACACGGACAATTTGACGTGATCTTCGTCGGAGTTGACGGCCTCGTAGAACTTCCTGCATTGGCGTAGCACGACTTAGTACTGGGAATGGGTGTGTAACGGGTAGGGCTGAGGATCGGACATACGAGAGAAGGTTCTGCCCCTCATATTGACCATTTCCGGTAAACTGCTTCAGACGGTCTGTGTAGATGCTCTTGATGCGTTGCCCGACGGGACGATGGGAAAACTGGGGCAGGGAGCTGGGCGCTTGTCGCGGAGCGTCTCCACCCATGACGGCGGGACGGAACGAAGGGACTAGTCTGGAGAAAATGATGGCGGTGATGGAAAAAAGGGATGGGAAAGGTTTACAGTGAGGAGTGTCACAGAGGAGAGTATGTGAGAGTGTTAGAGCGAGAGGAGAGTGAGGGAGGAGAGTGAGGGTGTGTCAAGAGAGGGGAATCCAGGCCAGGAACAGACAGTGACGTTGTGGTTGGTTGCATGCGGAGAAATTCCAAGCGGGGAAACGATCTCATCGCATCGCCTCGCATCTGAATCATCTCCGGTCTGACAACGGCGGCATGAAACAGGGTGTTCTGCTACATTCCTGGTGTTAGTCAATGGTCATTCGTGGAGCGCCTGTAATTTCCCGAGTCCATCGGACGTTGTCTCAGTCTGCAGATGCTGGTCCGTATAGATTCCATCCCTTCGTCCTCACGCTCCAGACCACTGCAGTCACCCATGACCCTCCATCCACCAGGACTGTAACCCCCCCATAACGTCCCTCATGCATGAACAGCCCCAGGCCACTTCTTTTCTCCTATTTGTGTGACCTCCGCCTGGTCTTTGCACTTTTCCGGCTCCATGCAGTACCTCCAGCAAGGGATGAAGACGCCCTTACGTTGGTCTGAAACAAAATGATCCTCTCATGCAACTCCGGCTACGCGAATACGTTCGGGAGGCCCAGAATGGGTATATCGGAGAAATCGATGGAAAGTGATAAGAATAGTAGGTAATATATCAGTCTGGCAGAGGCATTATGCACATGATCAGTCAACAGTCTTGGCTCCGTCCAATGCCATCCAGCTCCACAACGCCCAGCGCAGCCGTTGGAGATCTCAGAAATAACAGTAAGAAGATTAATGATCAGGAGAAGTGAAGAATTCAATGAAGGTCCGGAATAGAAGTGTAGAGAAGCATGAAATCGCTAAGACAAAGGTAGTAGGGGGGATATCAAGAAGAAGTGAAGTAGAATCAAATGGAAAGAGAAAAGAAACATGTAATCATCACACCCAAGGATCAACTCGCCCATAGGTAGTGTAAGGGTTCACCGGTCCGATCAAGCGGATTTTCTCCTTCAGACGCTTTCGTCGCCGGTCAACGCGGGCGCGAACCATCTTCTGTCGGGCCTCGTCCAGAGCGAGCAGGACATTGCTCGTTCCGCTGTGCAAGGCCCTCACGCATTCACGCGTGTTCTTCTGCAACCGCAGGCGCGCCGGTCTGGCGGGGGCCGTGGACGGGGTTGTCTTGTGACCTGTCCGCGAGGACGGAGCCTTGTTTTGGGTATATCGCGGGAACCGCACATGGTCCCGTTGTCGGTAACTAATGCGCCTCTCCCGTGCGGGCTTCTCCCAAATCGCAGCTCCGTGCCTCTGGTATGGGGTAATAGGCACCGCGAGTTGCTTCTTTCGGTGGAAGGCGATGGGTTGAGGGGGACGAGCCTGGGAGCCAACGCTGGATCGTGTGGAGATGGAGAACCGTTTCGTCTGGTCGTCGAGGTCGAGGGAGTGTTGTTGTGGTCCGACGCTCCCGCGATCCGAGTAGTTCGTGTAGTTGCTGGAGGGGACTCGAGTGGCGGAGGAATATCGGTGGATATAGTCCGACGGGGCGGTTGCTGGACGCGGAGGCCGCTTGGACTTCTCTTTGTCGATGGAGTGTTTGGACAGTCGGCGCTGGACATAGGACCGGATCGAGGCTCGCATATCATGCGCCAGGCCCCCGCGGTCCTGGGTGTTCCGCCGACTGCCCCTCCTCACAAAGTCAAATGGGGGGAAGTGCAAGAGTGCGCCATCCTTCTTCTGGGATTTGGGCGCAAACTTGTTGGGGGAACTGGCCTGCAGCTCGGATGGGGTGGCCAGTTCGGGGAAGAAGTCCCACTTCTTCTCGCGAAAATAATGGTTCGGACCGGACCGGTTCCCCGTCCAGAGGGGCGGCCGTTGGTAGCTAGACCCGGGGCGTTGGGTTGAGAATCACCCGGGGACGGGCGTGGTATCACATAAGGCCTCTACGGACGAGGCATCCACAC